GTCGCTCTACGGATTCTGATGAGGTGTCTCCATTCCGTGCTGTTCGGAAAACTGCAAATCGGCCTGTCCGTTGTCCTGATATTGAGTCTAGCCCCATTCAATCGTGAGTTTTAAAAGAATATCGTTTTCCGTCGTTCTGTTGTTCTCTTGAATTGCCTTTTAACTTAATTTGCTTTGTTCTTCTTTATAGAGAAGGTTCACCAGTTCGCCCTGACTCGATTAGGCGTCGACGTTTGGTCACTCAATCAGGTGTGGTTGGTGGCACTGCTGATTCGACTGTCGCCGTGGATGACAATTATGAGTTGGATGATCCAGTTTCAGAGCATAATGGATCACCGCCCAATGAAGATTTTGTCTCCTCTACGCATGATGAGCCTGTTCTTGACGTTTTGGATACCCAACCGTCCATTATTGAAGCTCCCGCTCCTGCCAGAGCACAGCGTGTTCGTACACCGTCTCGCAAGGCCATTGAGTCATCAGCACAAGGTTCTGGAAAAAAACAAAGTACTCCCAAGTCTTCGCGCAAGGAACGTGCCAAGAAGCAGCTTTTCACCAGCTGAAGGTGTCTTTTGACAGTCGATGGTTGGCCAACTGCTGCTGCTTAAGTTGTGCCTAATTCATGTACTGCTTTTGTTTGCTTGCTTGAATGCTGGTTCTTCGTTTTGTTTTTACCCTGGTTTCTGTTATTGTTGCTTTTGTTGTCCTGTACTTTGTCGAAACCTTCGCAATGTATGCTGCCTTAGTCATCTTCCGATTGACCAGGAATTATGGGACCGTTCATTTTGTATCATAAAAGTGCTTGTATATGAATGCTGTGCAGGTTTCTTTTGTTTAATTTCAAAAAAACTGTTCGGTTTCGTTGCACCTTATCTTACATTTATATAGTTCTTTGTCATTTCCCACAGCTAATTCTGTTCTTTGTCACACCCATTTTAAATTATGACCAGGTTCTTTATGCCTCACATTTAATCAGTTAACTACGTTGTGGTTAGTTGTTCTCGCGATACATTTTTTTCCGGTTTGTGTTTTTTTTTATACTTTTGTGCATTGCTTGGTGAGCATCGTTTCTTTTTACCACTGTCAAACCTCTCTTTATTCATCGGGACAAGCTGTACAAAACCTACTTTCGTTTAATTGTGCGGGACTCATCTATCCTATTTTGTTTTATCAAAACGTAAAAGAAACTGTACAGAGAAAGTCGATCAGGTCTGTCTTTGTTACCTATGGTCCTATTTTGTTTTTGCAACTTGCAGTGATTTTTACTGAAGATGAATGCGCTGCCATTCTATGTTAAATGACCTTTATGAAGTCTTTGTCTTCTTAATGTTTCTTTCTAATATGCCCTCTTGCATTTAATGCCATGTCTATGATTTGTGTACATGTCATTTCCTTGTGTCAGGTAGTACTTCTCAACTGACATGCTTGATTAAATTATTACTATTATGCTAGATATCTTTTGCTTAAATCTATCCTATTCATCTTCTTCTTCCATTAATGCTCCTAACACTTTTATTTGCCATTTTTAGCTTCTGGTGCATTTATTAATGGTCTGTTTAGTGAACTGTTGTATCATGGTGTTCTGTACGTGAAATTCATTTGTCATATCTCATTTGCTGTCGTTGATTTCTTGCATGGTTAGCTGTTGTACAAATGGTGAGCCTTATTGCTGCCTGTAATTTATGTTGTACTGCTCTCTATATGCCCGTGTTACTCAGTTCTGTATCATTTACATACATTTATCATTTGTGCTCTTGTCTTCCTTACAGGCCTCAGCCAGTCAGTGTACAAACCTCATTCCCGGTTACAGTACTGGCAGGAAACGACGGCGTGTGCTGTTGTCTGCTGAATCTGTGCCAGGAACACCGCCTATTAATCCTTCTATAAGGCGTCGAACAACTGGTTTTGACAAGCGTAGTCGATTATTCCCAATGAACAATTCGGCTGCCAGTGTATATCCTCCTCAATCAGACTTTCGTTTTGTTGACTCTCCTCTTGGTTCTCCAAGGTCTCCACCTGCTTGTACTTCCCTTCACATGCAAGCATCAACAGAATCAGAAGACGCCCACACTCCACCTTCCCAGCAGCATGACTATGTCAGAATTCTTGAACATGGTCTGCCGGATCATGAATGCCAATTCTGTGGTGCTCGGTTCTGGTATGAAGAACGGCTTAATAGGCATCGTTCAACTGTTCCTATTTACACATTATGTTGCCAAAAGGGACGCGTGCGACTGCCTTTTCTTCAGCAAACTCCACCTTATCTGGAACAGCTTCTTGGTATCAATGGCGGTCCTATGGCTGTACACTTCAGAGAACATATAAGGTCCTATAATGCAGCCTTTTCCTTTACATCATTTGGTGCTCGGCTAGATCCTCGGGCATCACGGACACGAGGACCGTACTCATTTGTTATTTGTGGTGAGAATTACCACCGTATGGGCTCTTTACTACCTGTTGCTGGTCGCAAACCAAAGTATTCGCAGTTGTACGTTTTTGATCCTCAAACCGAGGTTTCGGATCGGCTTGCTAATTTTTCGTCGGCAGATTGTTGCTTGCAGCCCGAGATAGTATCAGGATTAATGAAGCTGTTTGATGTCACATATGACTTGGTCAGGTCTTTCCGAAGAATTCGAACTCAGTTGTCAGATTCTGCCTCTGCAAATCTCCGCTTGAGGATTGTGGGCGCAAGAAACATAGATTCTCGCCAATATGAGCTTCCAACAGGAAATGAGTTAGCAGGTTTGATTCCTGGGGACTTTCTGCCTGACAAGGAAGAACGTGATATTATTATTGATCATAGATCAGAAGGTCTTAAAAGAATAACAAGTCTCAACCCAAAGTTTGATTCATTGCATTTTCCTGTGCTATTCCCATATGGTGAAGATGGGTTCCACGTAAACATACCATATGATGGTGTTCATACTCCACCAACTCTTAAGCGGAAATTTGTTACTCAACGTGAATACTATGCTTTTCGACTACAGCATAGAGATGATGAGGGCCAAACTTTAATGCGCGGTGGGAAAGCTCTGCAACATTATGTGGTCGATGCATTTTCAACTATTGAACAGAATCGCCTTTATTATTTGCGGTCTCATCAGGAGGATCTCCGATCTGAATTATACCATGGTCTTACTGATGCTTTTGATAGAGGTGATGTCACAGGAGATGATATTGGTAATGTTATTCTACCTTCGTCCTATACCGGCAGCCCTAGGTATATGAAGCAGTTGTATTTGGATGCAATGGCTGTTGTTCATCATCATGGCAGTCCGGATCTTTTCATCACCTTTACATGCAATTCTCAGTGGCCTGAAATTACAGAATCATTTCGCCAACTTTGTGGGTCAAGAAGCGAGCTTAAACCAGAAATTGTTGCTAGGGTTTTCCGTATGAAGCTTAATGCTCTGGAAGATGAACTGAATCGCTCACAATTTTTTGGAAAGACTGTTGCAGGTCTGTTCTGCTTGTCTTTGCTGTTTTGATGCATTTGGAATTTGTTTTTAGTTATTGTAGATCGAGTTTGATTCTTTTTCTGTTCGAGCTTTCTTTACTTTCTGCAATCTGATTTTCCAGCATGGCGTGTGCCTGATCCATGTGCAGGAATCAAGACAGTTGAGTTCCAGAAAAGGGGCCTGCCTCATGTCCATATATTGTTGTGGTTGGACGACAAAAGTAAACTCAAGACACAAGCTGATATAGATGCAACTGTTAGTGCTGAGTTACCGGATCCAGAACTTGATCCAGTTGGGTATGCTGCTGTTACGAAATACATGCTCCATGGCCCCTGTGGTGACGATAAACCAACAAATGTGTGTATGAAAGACGGCAAGTGTTCGAAGTATTTTCCAAAATTGTTCAATTCAGAGACTACCACAGACCAGTTTGGTTATACAGTGTACAGGCGTCGTGACTCGGGAATCACAGCATCCAAAGGCAGTGTGGAACTAGACAACAGATTTGTCGTTCCATATAATAGGAACCTCCTTGTGCTTTTTCAGGCACACATCAATGTTGAGGTATGTCATCAAGGACGGCTTATTAAGTACCTGTTCAAGTACATAAGAAAAGGGCCAGATCGGTCCATTGTAGTTGCAGAAAATACTGTACCACCTGTCGCTGAAGGTTCTGCACCGCCTGATGTTTCTTCACTTCGACCACAACCAGTGGCTCCTATTGATGAAATTAAGCGCTACCTAGATTGTAGGAGCCTATCTTCGTATGAGGCAGCATGGCGACTTTTTGAATTTCCTATACATGAAAGAACACCTACAGTCCAACGGTTATGTGTCCATCTTGAAGGAAGACATAGTGTTCCTTATAGAAAAAAGCAGAAGCTTTCTCGGATACTGGCACGTGATGCTGTTACAGAGACGACTCTAACACAGTGGTTTGCTCTTAACCAGACAGATCCAGATGCAAGGTGTCTACTCTATGCTCAGACTCCGAATAAGTATATGTGGAACCTTAAGAATAAAATTTGGTCTAAACGGAAGAGAGGCTTCGCAGTAAGCAGGATTGTTTATATTAACCCTGGTTGCGGAGATACTTTTTATCTTAGACAGATTCTTACCAAGGTCCGTGGTGCAGTTAGCTTTGCTGATTTGCGAACAGTGAATGGTTTCCCATGTCGAACATACCAAGCTGCTTGCCAGCGTCTGGGTTTGCTGTCTAACGACGATGAATGGTTGCTTGTTCTTCAAGAAGTAAATCAGTGGGGTATGTGTGGTCTCCTAAGATATCTCTTTGTGTCCATGCTCATGTTCTGTGAACTTGCTGATCCATTGGCACTCTTTGACCAAACATGGGAGATGCTTTCAGAAGACATTACGTATCGATGTCAGCGTAGTGTGAATTTTAACAATCATCTTATCCCGCCGGATCTGCCAAAAAATTCTTTATTGTGTGAATTACAGCGTATGTTGGCTTCTTATTCCACAACACTTTCGCATTTCAACCTCCCGTTGCCTACGCTCCAAATCCTACCTGGCAATGAGTGCATGTATTCTGAATTTCACCTGCAGCGTTCTGCTTCTTTGGAATCTGCCTCTCCACTTCCCAATTTATCCTGCCTGAATGAACAACAAACAGCTGCATTCCATTTGGTAGTTGATTCTGTTATCTCGCCTGTACCGGATGCTGGCCATTTCTACTTTCTGTATGGACATGGAGGAACTGGCAAAACTTTCCTCTACAAGACAATTCTTGCACACCTTAAGAAACTTGGCAAAATTGTCCTTGTGGTCGCTTCTTCCGGTATTGCTGCAACTCTCCTTCCAGATGCATCCACTGCGCATTCTCGGTTTAAGATACCATTGGAAATTGATCAAGCTTCTTCATGCAACATAAAGAAAGGTACGCAGCTTGCTCAGTTAATACTCGATGCATCTCTTATTATATGGGATGAAGCACCGATGGTGCATCGCTTATCGTTTGAAGCAGTCGATCGTGCTTTTTGTGATATCATGAATGTACCTTTTACTGGGATTCATTACCGACCATTTGGAGGGAAAGTCATGCTGTTGGGGGGCGATTTCCGACAGACACTTCCGATTGTAGCTGATGCTGGGAGAGAGGAAAGTGTTGATGCATCTTTAACTTGCTCTTACTTATGGAGTACCTGTACTGTTCTCCAATTAACAGAAAACATGCGCATCACAACTTCTGCTGGAAATGAATCCGTTACGTTCAATGGGATGGACTTCGCAACATGGACTCTTGCTGTGGGTAATGGAACAGTACCAGGGAAGTGTTTCCACCAAAATCAGCCGGCTGACTGGATAGAGATTCCAGAACAATTATTGATTTCTGCAACTGAAGCACCTATTCAGACAATGGCTTCTGAAATTTACACTGATTTTGCAGCTCGCTTTCACAGTGCTGCATACTTAACTGAGCGCTCCATAATTACACCGACCAATCGGAATGTGACAGAGATCAATTCCCATATGCTTGCATTGGTTCCAGGTCAAGTGCGTACTTATTTCAGCAGTGACACTTTACACACTGATGCAGTTGATCCATCTTGGCTCGAAGCAGAATACCCCACGGAATTTCTTAACGGTTTATCCTTCAATGGATGTCCTGAACACCAGATTGATTTGAAGGTATTCACACCGATCATGCTGCTTAGAAACTTGAATCCAGAAATAGGATTATGCAATGGAACCCGTCTTATGGTCGTTTATCTAGGTCATTATGTGATCAAAGGAGTTATTATGGGTGGGACATTCAACGGCAAGACTGTTGCAATACCAAGAATTGTTCTGAATATCAATGACCGACGTTGGCCATTTGTTCTTAAGCGGCGACAATTCCCTGTCAGACTTTGCTATGCCATGACGATAAACAAGAGCCAAGGCCAGACGCTAATTAGTGTTGGTGTGTATCTTCCAAAACCTGTTTTCAGTCATGGGCAATTGTATGTGGCTGTATCACGTGTCAGATCAGCTAATGGCCTGCGATTCCTTATTGTGAACGAAGATGACATTCCAGCCAATTATACTCGCAATATCGTTTACGAAGAAGCATTTGCAGATCTACAACTTTCTGGAGATTTTGACCTGAACTTTCCTTAGAGGTCTGTTATAGAGACAACACAATTATTTGCTGTCGATGAATCAACAGAGTTATGTTTGGTATAACTAATTTGGTATCTTACAATGCAGGCCTCGCCAACCTGCTAATGCTGCCTTTGTTCTGACCTGAAATATTGTGCCCTTTATGCGGTAATTAGACTCTTACACATGATTATAGAAGTTTTGTCCATTCTGATACTTGACCATTTATTGATTTAGGTTTTTTTCCCTCCTCAGGAAAGACTATTATGCTTCTGCAGTATCCATGATGTTTGTTGATGTGTCTGCTTTTGCCCAGCTCTTTCCAAGACAATTAATTCCTTTGTTGGCAGATCTTTTGTACGCAAAAAACGATGTTCTCATGATGCATTTGGAATGATATACTCAACTTATCAACTTGACCTGGTATCGAACTTCTGTTCCGTCGAACAATGTACTCCCGCTTATTGGCTTAGTATTGTACCTAAACTTTTATTCTCTGCAAAAAAAAACAAACAAATAAACTTGCCTCAGGATATCTTGTGTTCGTCTACAAAATTATAAACCAACTAGCCATTAAAGATCCATTTATGTATATCTGCCTACTTGCTAACGAACCTAAATTTGACTATTCCCAAAACAACTATTACGGTCCACTTTGCTTCCGCAGCATGCTTGGCCCATTGTTTTGCTGCTCAGCCCAATTGCTAAAACCCTATTCTGTCTATTTCTTCCTCATATAAATCATCGCTTCACCATGATCTTTCCACACCTTCTGCCATTTCGATATTTATTACCAGCTGTGGTAAGCCATGTCAGATGATTACACGTACGCATGGGCACCCAGAGGTTTCTTTCTAAATTCCTCTCTGTGCCTTTGGAATTATTACCTGCATCGTGAATTTGTATCTATTCTGAATTGTTATGATTTGGGTCTTACCTAGATCTACCTGCCGCGCCTTTGACGATTAAATCGCTCCGCCTTGGACATAATGAAGGACCCATAGTCCTCCGCCTGCTCAATCGATGGGAGGAAGTGGATGCTTCATCACAGGCGATGATTATCCATATGCTGTTCATCGATAGAAATGTGCGCTCTGTTATGCATTCCACTCATTGCGTGTATCGTTGTATTAACATTTCCTTGCCTCTTTTTTCTCAGCGTGATCTGATCGAGGGTTTTGTGGGTACTGACCGACCAAATTAGTACAGTAGCATCTTTACCGATCGACCAGATCTATCTACTGCCATGGGTCAGGGCAGTTGGAAAACGGCCGACTAATCGAACATCTGACTGTTTGTTTCGGCTTCAGATTCAAACTGAAACAGTTCTTAACGAACTGCATGAGATACCACCGTATCAGTGGTTTCCGAAGATAGGATTCAATGCCACGCCATTCTCGCAATTATCTCAGTTTGTGGATTCAGTGATCGAGTATAGAGGTAATTAACCTATTCCACTCATTGTACTTTTACATGTTACTAAGACCCCTATTTAATTTCATATAGATGTTGTTGGTCGGCTGGTGAGCATATCAGACTACGAAGACAATGGAGGAATGCGTAAAACTAGATCTGCTGTTTTACAGGATCAAACGTACGTATTCTCTGTTGTTGATTTCTTGCCTCGCCTGCTATAAACCATTGCCTAACTGATGCTTGGATATATGTTTTCTTTCATAGTGGCCAATGTGTTTTGGTTAGGTATGCTTTCCCACATATGACTTTAGCAAAACCATTTATAGCAAACTTAGAACGCCAGGGACCAGTTGTGTATGCAATTACAGCACTACATGTCAGCCAGTTGAGTGGTACATTTTCTACCCGAGGTTTGGTTTTCTTGCTCTCATCTGTGATGCTCTTATTGCTAACTCTTATTCATTCCTAACAGGAAACGGTCAGTTATGCTTAGTTACCACAAAGGCATCCAGAATCATCGTAGCCTACTACACAAAGCCTTTTAAACAAATAAAAGATAGGTGAAGTATCATATGCTCTTTTTACCAATGATTGTACATGTATCGGCAAAAACTTACACACTATTTTGTTCCAGCTTCTCGCATGTGCATCGTCCTGTTCAACTAGGACATAATCCAGTTCCAACTCCAAAATTTGTACGACCCAACATGCCAGTGAAAACAACAATTCTGCAGCTGTTCGCCACACTGGAGGACTTATCAAGGCCATATGATGTATGTTTCGTGCCACTTTTTATAATTTTCTTAACGCTTGATGCACAATACTGATATTCTCATGTTCACTTCTGCAACAAGATATCTGTCTGGTGCTTGATTAGGATTAGACGCATCAACAGGAACCAAAGATTGTATCATTGTGACTCTGATGAGGATGACCCTTATTCAACAACTTATTCATATAGGTACATTTAAAGAACAATATTGTGACTATACGATGTTTTTTTTTTATAAATTTTATCCTTATGTGTTTTCCTTGGATTTAGCTTTAGGGTCTCTTGCGAAGATATCTCATGTCAGGGCACAACAAAAACATACGATCTCCTCTTTAGCCATTATGCAGGGACTGCCCTTTTGCAAAACACCGCTGAAGCTCTTGCCAATATGACAGAGGATATGGTGAATGAAATTTTGGATCCTCTTGAAGGAAAGCTTTTCGCTGTGGAGATTGTTCCATATTATGAGGCAGATTACTTCACCAATATACTTAACGTCGTCACTATATGGGATCCATTAGCATATGCGATCATGAGTTAGTTTCCAACACCTTTTGTAGGTGGCAGATCTACAGTTTCTTTTTGGTCTTGAAACTCAAACAGACCGTTTATTAGTATTATTGTGTGATTTTCCTTATTTTAGCGTGTATGGAGAAAGGTTCCTCGTGTTTTTAGTGTGCGGACGAAAGTGGTCAATCAATCGAGTTCCAAAAAAAATTATATTCTGCATACATGGATTGTGAAAAAGTATTTACGATTGGTGATCTACACTGTGAACTTTGGACATGGAGAAAAAACACATATGGGCCCATAGTAAGCACGCACATTAGTTAGTTTTGGTCACCTGCACGAAATGGACCAAGCCACACTCCTTAAACAACCAATTGGCCTGGCCCAATAGATCTATTTGGTCCTTCCCTTTAGGGTTTCCTCCTCATCGTCATGCTTATCGCTCAAAGGAACAACTGACGCAACAACCAGCAGCTTCGATGATGAATCGAACACAAGATATCAACCGCTTACGCCATGGATATGTAGAACATACGATTCAGGTCCGTCATTTGCATACATGGCGAGAAGAAGCAACAAAAGATCACGAAGTGAATCATCTTCTTCTCGACAAAAAGGTTTTCGTTTGCCGTTCTGTTTATTCGTATCATATGTTCTGCTTCATTTAATTGAGAATGCTTCTAATTCATGAGGTGCAACAGGGAGTAATGATCGTTGCCACAGCAGATCAAACAACAAGACAACAAGAACTATCACATCTCAGGGTGGGCGATATCTACAACATTTCATCCTTCTTTGTCAATCCTACAAGGATTGTGGGTCGTTGTTGCTCGAACAGTCAAGAATTGAAATTTATTCAGAACACCACATTTCAAGCTGTGCTTGAACCCCCACCATCAGAATACCATCCAACCAATATGTCAGAACCAGTTTCTTTCTTGGATCTATATGCGCGCGCATTTGTCAATAAGGAACGATCAGGTGCTTCATCAGTCCTATACATTCATCTTCCTAACATTTCCTGTCAAATTATCTCCATGCTCTTTAATTAGTTTGTTATGAACCAGATGTTATAGGCCGCGTGGTCGCCATCTCAAAGACTTATGTGGAGGAATCGTCTACAAGAACACCAATGCGGCAACTCATTCTCCTGGAAGATGATTGGTACAGAGTTGGCATCTGTACCTTTTACGTTTGTCAGTGAATACATGTTATTTAGAGCTAATGTCTTTGCTTTTCAATTCAGTGAGCGACAAATATTGACACAAATCGTAGGCGACCCAATCATACACATACTTGAGGCCATAATTTCCGAAGAAGAGCGAAATGGACCAGTAATAGCAACTTTGACTTCCATGATCGGCATCTATTCTGAGGGTGAGATTTATGTCGATACAACACTATGTCATTCCGTTTACCCTCGCTCATATACTTTAGGTGCAGGCAAAATACTCTACAGGAACACATGCAGCACGAGAATAATTACTGACCAGAAGTTGCGAATGCATCGGCCAATGTTTTACCGGTTTGACACCTTTTGCTTGCGGTTACAAACTTTTATGTGCTGGCTGGTATAATATCATTGTGTTCTGCGTTCCTATGCAGACACTCAAGTTCAAACATGCCGGTTTACTGCATTGATCAGACCCGAAGCACGGAACTAATAAAACCCTTGCGACGACTCGGGTCGGTGTCACTCAATAAATGACTTGCTTTTTTTGCTGGCTGAAGATCGAGCATTAGATGGCAATCCTCCCATCAATGTATGTCCCTTTTCATTTTACACTACTGTTAGAATGTTAAGATTAGATGACCTCTGCCCTTTTTTGCTATTGTTTCCATAGGCGACATTCCGGTGCCTCGCAACAATCCAATCGATTGATAAACAGTTCGGATATTTTGCATGGTTATGCCCTGAGTGTTATCCACAGAAGCACAGACTGTTCCCAAACGATGAATGCTCCAGATGCTCTGCAGGAATTTTTCATGATGATAGAATCAGAAGGTATACAAATGTCTTCGTAAAGATGTCTACGCCCAAATAGGTCTTGAATGTAATCATAGTAGTAATCTATAAAAACAGTTTTTGTATCTCAGCGGACGTGTTTGATGAGACAAACCAGACGACATTCTTGATTAGCCATGAAGCTGCTGCTGCACTACTCCAAACAGCTCCAAGCTGGGCCCTTGAAACACAAGATGTTGAGCCTCTTCTGCAAGCGATCGTTTACCGCACATATGTATTTGAGGTCAGGCAATTACCTTGGTGCGATCAGAATCGTGAACGATTTGAAGTTGTTGCAGTCTGGCACCGTCATGC